CTCTTTTGCCCGCTCTTCTTCGTTATTCGCTAGAGCTTAATTATTCGTCACCAGAGTCGAGCATATCTCTGATGCCGGCAACCGCTAAAATTTTATCGGTAAATATTCATAATGTTTTTTTTTAAAAATTGTGGACTCAAAGAAAGCATGGACCCCGAGCACCCGGTGCCCGTGAGCGCACTAGGCTCACCAGCCTAATTTTTGGGCACGTGTGCTGGGCTAGAGCACGCTGTCAACCCCCAGACCTAATTTTTGGGCGGGGACTTGGCACTCGAGGACGGTGTACGAAAATCTTCACCTGCCTGTTATGTCTCCATCCCATAAATGAGTTGGATGATTTAATATAAGACAATTGTGTTGTTGCAGCTATTTGAGCAGGCTGAGTGAAACCATAGCTGAGGACTTATCGTTTGTAAATGATGTTAAAATTATATTTTTTTATTAAAAATTATTTTTTATTTTTAAATTATTATTATATACTAACTTAAAAATTAATTATTAAAAAATAAAAAAATATTATTTTAATATATTTTTAAACAAAAAGTATTTTAAACTATAATTAAAAGGCACTTCTTAAAATAAAAATACCCTCTAATCTTACACCATAAAAAAGGAGTTAAAAGATATAAATACTCATTAAAGCATATAGATAAAAGGGATCTAAAGCTATGTCTTTGAGGGAAAAATTGCTCAAGAGGGAGTTTTACAATATTTATTGTCTTGGTCAGATTTTTAAACTCTTATGGCTTTTGTAATTCTACAATAGCTCAACCTATCGCTGAAGTTTACTAAAAAAATTACGAGAGGCAATTATATTGCTCCTTCTTACCACATGAATATTATTAATATAATTTAGATAAAAATGAACGTGCCAAAAGAGAATGAAAACTTGTGCGAGATCGATCACTTTTCCATTGATGGCCTGTGGACAAGAAAATCTTAATAGCACCAAAGGAGGGCAGAAGCACGACACGCTAGCAGAAAATAAGAGCTACAACGCGCTACTAAACGCCAAGCTGCTGCTGCTGTTTTGAAGAACTCTACTTGCGGATGAGAAGGGAACTCGAGCAATTTCTACACCACTCCAACTTGCAGCATCTTTTTTCCTTGTTCCACGTGCTAACCTCTTTTTATTTGATTCTATCTCTCACTCACCAGGTCCACCATGCCTGCTGGTCATGTGCTTGTGCATCTGACCGACCCTATTCTTTTTTCTTTCTCCACTCGAAACACAATGACCTCCCTGTACGTTTTCACAAATGCCCCTTTCACACTTCTTTATGCAAGAGAGTGTGAGTGAAATCTAAACAATGGAATATGGAACACAGGATATCAATTCTGAGCCGAAGGATTTTGTGGATGATTGGCGAATCCTGCTCTTGGAATTATAAATAACTAGAATTGAGTTAATAGGATCTAGATTCTTGACCTTGAATTATATAAAAATATTAATTCATTTACCCTTAAGATTTGAAAGAACTTATCTTTACTTGCTCTTTTGCAGCCTTTTGAACAAGACTAAACCTCAATATAATTCCACTGTAATGAAGACAGTGTCTGCCACATGCTCCCCATAAAGGGTTACGGCAACCCCAATAATATATATATCAGGCTAGACCATCTTGTTCCATGCAGAAGCTAGTGTTTACGGGGGTGAAGGGTACTTTTCTTTTCCTTCTAAAACAAAATGCATAGAGAGAAAAGGGGAGAGGAAGACAGAAATTCACCTCGTTCAAAGGTCGTACCAGTGTCTGAGTCTCAGACTGCATTGACAGTCAAGGTATCTATTCTCCAGTGATGAGCCACACACCAAATCAATTATGGAGTTGTTCATTCGTATCATTCCACAGATGATACAGAAGTGTCCAGGTTCCTAACAAATGATTGCTTATTGCTATACATCTCGACCTGCTCTCCGCAAAGCAACGAAAACGATTTAAAATTAAATATTTGGTGAAGGAATATGACCTAATCAATGAGTAAGGAATTGCACCTCCAGGGGAAAAAAGAACTAAAGAAAGACCTGTACAAGTTTTACCAAAATCTCAATTAAACAAAGCATCTTCAAGGTAACTATGGGCAGAGTAGTTTAATTACATGAAAGTAAGAGATACAGTTCATAAAACATCTTCAGCTATGCTGCCGTTCCAACATGACTTTTGCCTCTGGTGGAAGGTGCTAAGGAATATTCTTTATTCAATTTTTCTTCTAACTAGTCCTTCGAAGAAGTCGAAACTGTAGCCAATGAGAAAAAAATAAAAAAATATTGCGATTACTTCCATTACGAGGATAATGAGGCAGGTTCTCTGTATGGAAACAATTCATCTGAAATGTAAAACTACATGATACTAAACCTAGCATATTTTAGTCAAAGTAGGGAAGATGATGGCAGATAGCAACAATCAGAAGCAGATCGTTTCCAATTGTTTTTTATTTGATGACCAGAAAAATTCAGAAACATGGAAAGTTGTCGCTGGCCCATTCAAATTTGCAACCAAGTCAAGGACTCAAGACATCCGGGTTGAGAAAAACATAATGGCCACTCTGACGCACATGGATCCATGGAAAACTTGTACTACAAGAGAATAGGATAGATCAATACAGTAATGATGCACTATGCTTTTGTTGAATAAGTAACACTCATGCACAACTTAGCACCACAGAAACCCATTCATTCTCTTCGAATTCAACTTCAAAAAAGTGTAGATTTTAATAAACAAGAATATATATTTTGGAAGGTAACACCAATCTACCTATTGCCATCAGGATGAAGTTCACACATTTGATTCTCTTCACCAATAGCTAGCAAATAACCAGAAGATGTCAATCCCTGCAAATATAAGAATTAGCTAAACACTTTAGAACACATCATTTCAGGTTCTAGCACAAGCAGCATGACACTTTCTCTTATTTAGCACCTGTTGCTAAAGGTCTATCATATCAAGGGGCTTAAGGAACTAAACTTTGCATCATGAATGAAACTGAAATTATAAAATCAGATTGTGGAATTTTCAGTTAGTAATATGTAGCAGAATAAAACTCTTCCACAGTTTTTCTAGGAGCAAAATGTGAATTCAAATCAGAAGGTAGCACATTATCTAGGACATCAACCTTAACAAGGTCATACCTGAATGGTGACCACGTTCTCCACTACTTGGTTTTCATTCTTCTCCTGGATGATAACTCTCTGTCCGCTGCATGAACATCTCAAAATAAAATCATAGCTAAAACATGCTTGTCTAAACGATATAAACAAGTCCGATCAGCATATTATAGGCAATAGCATAGAAAGTTATGCAGTTATCTAGTTTAATATGAGGACTTTTGTAGAAAGTTGAGCAGTTGTCTAGTTATGAGGACTATTTAAAGCAAAGTGAACATCAATCTGGTGATCCATAAGCAGTCATATAAACAAAACAAGAATCAGGAATCAACAAGTGAAAAGCATGTGCAAGCAGTAATATATATATATACTCATAAGCTGAAGGCATCCAAAGGGAATCGATAATGTGAGCAGCTGAAACAAGGATATGCCTGAGAAGCTAGCTAATGATCCATTGATTTGAACAACACATCATCCTAGATGAAGCAAAGTGTGTTAAACAATATTCTTTTCCGTATAGAACTAGAGGGTTTATTTTTTTCTTCTGTTGTTAATTTCAGTCAAACGGTTTTTGGGTTTGCCAAGCACCATGCTCGGATGTGAGAAATTCATAACAACAGCAATTTGAAATTTCAATGGACCTCGATACTTTTCATGGCTACAGAACATGAACATGATGGATCTCCTTTGTTATGCATCTTGAAGATTATCTACTTCGTAACTTGTTTGGACATAAACTTTCAAAAGAAGTGATGAAATGATAAACCACTGAACCATCATTGATTTGAATGGACATCAACCTTAACCAATTATAAACATTACCGGTGCCCTTTACATTATAAAAAGTAAACAAGCACACACAGAAAAGGAAACCATTAACACAACAACAGAGTTGCAAAGAGGAAATCATGTGAAATACTGGAGAGTATTGAAAATTACATCTCATCTGTGTAGCCATGTTTTATAGTAAAGCTCCTCAAGAATTTGAAATCCTGGGTGCCATGCTGAAAGAGAGAGAGAGAGATAGAGAGATGAATGTGACATCATCATTATTATTATTACTACTACATGTAATATGGTTAGCTTGGAAATAAAAATGATATTATCAATAGAAAAAAATAACTATTTGTAAAGAAATTTCTGATAAAGCAATTATACGAGAAAAAGAAATGACAGAATTACAATTTTACACAATCTTTGGTGAAAAAGAAGAAACCAGCTAAACTATAAAGAAATATATGATTTAATACACTAAATATCAATAATTCTTTAACTACTTTGAAAAATAAATTAGATAACCCTATTTACACTAGTTGTAGACTTAAATCTTAATCCTCGTAGGAAAAGAAATCCTTATTGATAGTTATATGGTTAATATAGAATCCAGTTAGCATTGAGATTCCTAAGCTAAATAAGAAAAGAAAAATAACAAGAAAAATAAATAAAATTATGAAAAAACAACTTCCAGACCTAATTTGGGCATGAAAACAACCTCAGCTAGTTATAACTTGTTGACTCTAGCTCTTGTAGGTGATTACATTGATTCAGCCTTTGAAATTCAACATTTTATTTATGGATACATTGATTTCATTGAAAACAGTACTGATATCACTAAAATAAATATTGATCATAATCCCAAGGAAGGAACTTGTCTTGCATCCATGATTTAACAAGTGCCCTGCCTTCTCTTTTGCTTATAGCCATATGTAGTTTTCACCAAGAAAAAGCTCCACCTTTCAGCTTGTATGTGGTCAATTTCATTATCATCTTGTCTGAGGTATTCATGCATTCCTTAAGCCTGTCACATTTAGCAATCCAGTCAAAGAATTTTTCTATGTCCATATCTACATTGAAGTTAGGGATATCACCCATTAGATAAAATTCATTCATCTCATGCTAAAGTTTTATAGGCCTATGCCTATTGTAATAGGCAAAACCCTCACAACCTCAATCAATCTTGTCCTCTTCAAATTCCTCCAAATAGATAGGTTGTCCATGTATGATTGGAGGAACAACTTTGAGATTTGATCCACTCTGAGACAAGTCTTTGGGCACACCCCTCCTTTCAACACCATCCTTGTTTATGCCTTCCCTTGGTAGTTGATCTAACTACTTAGCTATGTTTACTACTGAATGTTCTAATCAATCGAATCTTTGCAATAAGATTCTATATGGTGCCTCTTGAGTCCTCACAACGCTTCTACGTCTTCAACTCCTTAATTTACATTGCAAGGTAGGATGATGTTGTCAATGTCTTTATCCATCAAGCAAGCTAACTTGCTATGATATTAATTGACGCAACATGTTTAGCAAAAAGGAAGAAACCAGGGTTTTACAAACCCTAAACTTGTGCTAAACATCTAATTTAATTACTCTAATTGTAATAACTCTTACTTGTTATGAAAAATAACCAGACAACTCTATTTATACCAATCCTATACCATATCCTATTCCTTATAGGAAAATGAATCCTTATTGAAAGTTATATGCCCAATATAGAATCTAATTGGCATTAGAATTACTAAACTAAATAAGAAAAGTAAAATAACAAGGACAATTAAAAAAATAAAACAATTCCAGATCTAATTTGAACATGTAAACGATCTCAATTGGTTGTAAGAAACAATATGCTTGTAAAATTTTAGTTTGATCCAATAGTCAAATTAAAAGTTATGTTGTTTTTGCTAAGAAGCTCCTTTAACTTGTCTAGACTTTTTCTTAGATTTGGACTAGTTGATTTGATCATGAATGTACTTATTGGATGTTCCACATTATAATTAGAGCAATCCTAACTTGTAACAAGTTATTGGACTTTATGTTATTGAGAACCAACTGAACAAAAACCTTAACCTCATAGGGTATCTTGCCCTAGTAAGAGACAAAAGTTTGGAGATTAAAAAAAAATCCAATCAAATCTTCACTTTTTTGCTTTCAAACTCCACCATTCACATCAATAAAACCATAAAATCTCAATCCATTGTCTTACCATTCTAAAATTTCCTAAGAGCTGATTCAAGCAGAACTACAAGAAGTATTTGGTTGAGAGTTAAAATATTCCTTCCTTAACTGATTTGAAAGTATCAAATCAACACCTTTTAGTCTATCTTAGATAACTTAATAAAAGCTCGCTCATTGAAATGCTTTATGGGTTCTGAATGAAGTCAATTCCAGCTGTTGTTTTACTAGACTAGGAGATAGCAAACCAATACTTGGAAGAAATATGAAGCAAGCCCTTAAATGCCACAATATGTTTGTTAACAAGAGCTCAAAATGGAACAAACCATATACACTAGTGATTAGTATTTAAAAGTACATTTTTATCATGGTTTTATATCATCATTTTGCACTTGAAGTATCAATAACTCCTTAACTAAAGCATGTTTTATAATAATATATCTAATAATATAAGATACCTTTAATTTGTGGTAAATGTTCATTTTAAATGCAGGCCTATCACATAAATGAAAGGATTGATTGATGAATTTAAGAACTGAAATTGAAAGGATAAAGGGATGGCCAAACTTAGAAAAGAGATGTCGGTGCAATCCAAACCGAAACACTATTCGGTAATTGGGTCATATCTGAAGCTATAGATCTCAGATTTAGGTCTACTTTATATGGATGGAAAGGTAAGACATAGGCCTATAACTTTCATATGGAGCCTAAGATCTAAAAAGGCCATTTTCAAGTCCAAATTATAGCAATAACAAAGAAGCTCGAATTTGCCCTCTAGCCTGAGCACTGTTCAGTATGTTGGCCATATCTGGAGTTCTAGAACTTGAAATGAGTTGAAATTTTTACACAAGAAAGTTGAGACAATTTCCTACAACTTTCATGTTTTCAAATGGCTCCAGTTTTGATGTTATCAATGACGTTTTGGGCAGACAAGAGAAGATAAGGATTGTCACCAAGTCAAGAGTTGGCCACCCACTTATCAATTAGTCATCAAATCAATAGTTCCCAATTTTGGCCTATAAAAGGATGCATTTTCTATGCAATTAGGCATCTTGGTTTCCAGATCAAAATCATGCTCTTGCTTTCTTTCTTTATTTTTTTTGTATTGCTTATGCTTTGCTTTCATTAATATCAAGTTTATACCATTCATTTCCTTTCCTTTACTTAGTTAACTTTTATCTTGTTTATGTTCTTGTTTTGTTTATTTATTTTTCTTTCTTTCATTATGTTTAGCTAAGTTTATTATGTCAAGGTGAAAAGGTTACACTAATGGTGTAAGAATAAGCATAGTATAAACTTAATATGGACTTTAATGTTTGATACTAACATGTTTTATATTTGTTATCTTGTTCACTCTTTAATACTTTGCTTGTTAAATGACTAATCTTGATTTATATTGTATAACACTTGGTACAACAAATGCTTGGCACTTTCATAGACCATACTGTATGGTATAACCGACACCTGAGCTATGAAAGGAACTTGATTTGTTGTTAACATAAGTTATAATCATAAATGCTTGATGACATTTAGAAGTATTAGCATTAATTGAATAAGATGACTAATGTAATCATGTTAACAATCTATAATCTGATTGGAACCTCCTTTGTGTGTTGTTTCCAATTGAATAATAAGAGTTTATACTATACTTGTTTGACATACCATTAGTGGAACCTCTAACCTTGACATTTGTTATTATTATTGCTTAATCCTTACATTAATATTTGATCTCCAAGCGCTCATCATCATCATC